CCCCAAAACCCCAAAACCCCAAAACCCCAAAACCCCGCAAGCATAACTCTTAGTAATTGATTGATATTGAAAATTTATTGTAAATTATTGAAAATAAGTGGTAAATATTTTTACTCATAATCTTATAGTACAGTCAAACTTAATTAGCCATTTTAGGACTCAATAAAATGTCATATGGCGATATATATAGAATTTGAATCTACTTTGATTTAATGTTCTTATCATTCTAGTTAGATGATTTATACCTCATAGTTTTCCTGATCATCTGTGACTGCAATCTGATAAGGAGTTAATAACTGCTGATAATCTATTTCTTAGTATTAATGCCTTTAACTTAAGTTTGAAAACCTCTAATCTTAAATCAGTATTTGCCGCTTGAAGTTAGTGTTAAGTAATTTTTCCTCTTGAATTTCTAAAAGTGATTTGCCTTATTTAGCTCTGCTCTCTTATGTACTGCTTCTTCTCTTTTTTATAAACTCATCACTGTTTTAATGACTATTGTATTGGTAGAAAGATTATTGAATCGATTTCTTATTGTAATTTTTTTCATTTGATGTGAATTGTGTAGGAGACTCAATTAATAAAAACTGATTTAGCTTTCCTTAGCTTAGAAGTTTTAAGTGCCGATCTTCACTCTATGTAGTGGAATCTTCTCTTGTACCATTATTGTCCTCATCTACGGTTATCTCAAGATTATTCAGATTGTTACTACTTATTAGAAGATGCTTTTTTGTTGGCGAACTTGTCTAACTAGATACTATATGCTATTATTAAGCGAGAGATTCATAGATGGAATAGCCGGTGGATCGCTTCTCAGATTTGGTTGATATTGCATCATCCTATAACGCTGAAACAGTGTTGAAAGTGAATCTAACTTTCTTAACCTTATTTTCCGGTTCTTTTTAACCATAACAACGTCTTAGCATCTCAGCTTTTATATCTATACCAGAAAAATCAATGTATTCGTTAAATTATCAGAACATTAATAAGATAATCATTAGCAATGGCAATTTAAAAAAATTAATGCTTAATGGAGAAATAAACTTACAAATTTCAGAAATTGTAGATCCTACAATCGGCATTAGTCTTGATCTGAGTCCTTATGCATTGTGCAATGACTTTTATAAATGGAATAGTCTTTTAAATTCTTCTTTCATTATGATCCTATGATTGGCTGATGAAAAAATCCTAACTAGATTTGTTTTATCTGTTTGAGCCTATTTAATTTTAATATCCAGAAATGTGATACATACATTTTTTAGCATCTCCCTTTGAATTGCTTGAATTATCGTGTAGCTATCATGTTACTAGTCAACAGTAGCAGGAAGAGCAAACAAAATCAAAAAGTATAGATGATCAACTAACTCTTTGAATTATTAGATAGTCAGAAAGCCTTTGTTATTGCAATCGTAAAGAGAAAATATTTGTTCTGCTTTATCGCAAGGAAAATCCCTGCCAAGAAGAATCAGAGATGTAAAGAATTTTCTTGCAGGAATATATTAGGGTTTGAAATTATTAAAATTCATAGATTCCTAAGCCTGCGCAGTTTATTACTTCTTCTCAAATGCTGCAACGAACTTCTAATGATCGGAATTCAATTCGATATTTAAATTCTTCGAAAAGGCTTTTAGTATATCATTCTTCTGTAGTATGCCCTTGTTCATACTTGATTTTAATGCCTATATCATAGTATAAGCATTCGTTTTAGTTCATGATTAAATTTAATGTTTAAGTATATTAAAGTAACTTAAAAATGTATTCTTAAGAATAGAAGGACTTACGTCATAGAAGTCAATAAATCTCAAAGTCCAGAAGCATAAAACAGCTTCCTATTAGCAAAAAACAAATTCTTCATCAGGTATATTTTTCCTTTATTCTGTTTGATCTGATACATCTCCTCTGCACATTACACCAAGGAAAGAAGAGGATGCAGAACGAATTTTACGGTCGCTCCGATATTAACGCAATAGATATTTTTGATAAGATTAAACTTGAGGTTCTGCTACTTTGCATTCTGAAAAAAGTTACCCCATTCGATGTTATTATTCTCTACTCTTTTATTTTTATAATATACATATTATTCTCAATTCACCTAAAATTGTTTGATGCGGGGTTTTGGGGTTTTGGGGTTTTGGGG